TCTGAAATTGAAATTGCAAGTGCTGTCTGCAGGTCCTCTTCCTCTTGCATTTCCCTCTTCTTCTTATCGGCCTAATTGTTGATCTTCACGTTAGTCACACTTTTCACAAGACATATGCCGACCGGTTGACAAATGACGTAAATGATGCAAACCTTATCCTCTTTCGCTGGTAGATCTGGAGATGGAAATATATATTCTGCCGCGCGATTGTCATTTACATATTAACATTAAAGTCAAAGAATGAAAATCATTCTCTATGTACCCTATGTATACCTTGCATTCTTAATTTGTTCATAGTTTCTTCCATAAGCGAAAGGGAAGCTTTGGATTTGAATTCATTCGTCCATTCTTGAATAAGTTCTAATATTCTAGTCTTCACTGTTTCGTTTGTGTTCTATTCACGCAACCATCGGTCGTCAGCACTCTAGTGTCAGGAAAAAACTCGTTCACCACCATGTGACTGACCTTGTCGCTTAATAGCCTTGTTAAGGATTGCGTAAATGACCGACTGCATATTTCGCTATGAGCTTCCGGGCCACAACTCTTGACTATAGCATTTGATAGCTGCGGGATTGATTAGAATATTACTTGTCAAGGTAAATCATCACAAAAAAATACTCAAGAAGACAGAATAACACTTACAGTCAATGCAGATAACTGTACGTTAGCATTCCTATGTGCTAAACGCTTCAAAATGGCAGCGATACAATCTCTCGCACTGCATGCAAGATCAACATAGTCGAGGTCACGTTTACAACCTTAATACAAGAAATCACGTTTACCAGTCTCAATGTCGTTATTACCTTTGCCCTCCTCCTGCCTGTACTTTCTCGCAGACAGCGGTTATGTCCCGCCAGTTTTCTGTAGTAAGTGTTTCGCTTGTTGCAGCGACTAATAAAGCAGAAGAAGTCTTAAGAATGGTGTACGGATCAGATAGCAAAAAACCATGGCCAACGAAGGTTAATGGCAGAATACGTACTGACACTCTCGTCAAATGGGTTCGATGGCTTGAACATGTTTGTGGTAAAATGATAAGTTTCAAAGAGTATACGTTTCGGGATAAATAATTGATCTCACGGCTAAGCGTATGGTCATGTGATTTTTGTCTGACATTTTTAGCAAAAAAAAGAAAAGAAACGAAACGAAATTTGCTTGTTACCATAAAATTCTCTCAAAGCTTTAAAACTCATTAACAAGAGAAATCAATGAAGGCATACCAAGAAAGATATCGTTAATATCCAGATTTCCATTGTTAAAATGTAATTAAAATTTCTGGCATTTTTCAGGTTTTAATTTCTCTTTTATTCGGTAATTATTGTGCTGTCTATTATATCTCAATGTAACGTTACTTGTGACGCGTCTTATCGTTAATAGATGTTTGCTTAATAGTAATAGTAATAGATGTCTGTCTGTATACCGATTGTTGTGTGTGTAATTTCTACTATACTTTTCTCTAGCTGACGTAATGTAGCATACGTGTATGACGTAATCAAGTCGAAAATTTTATACCCAAAACTTTTCCCTGTCAGAATGTCGTTATTCCAAAATGTCGATACTCCAAGCCTCGCCTCTTATTCCTCCCTCACGACCTGAAATCATTCAGTCACTTATTGACGGTGTTGATAGATACAATCCTGACAATATTTCAATTCTGGAAGAATATTTGGGAGCGCAGTTACAGAATGAGGAATATGATTTGATGGCCAATTTGGCAATATTAAAGTTGTGAGTGTGTAGGAAATTGGTTTGGTTTTACTTAGTGCAAACTGTGATGATAAGTGAAATTTAGAAACTTGGGATTTTTATTTTATATACGCTAACATCAATTCGTCCCAAGTGCTGATGCAATTTCAACTTGCCCTCTCTGAATTAAATCACTGAAATTTTTGCTGTCGAATCACAGACTGCAAACTTTGTACTGATTTTTTCGTTGTTTATTATAACAATACAGGTATCAGTTTAATCAGCATCTAATTAATGACCGAGTAATAATAAATATACTCGTGAAAGCATTGACAGCAACACCAAACCCTGATTTCAATCTATGTCTTTATTTATTGCACGAAAGCGCTGTAAGCCAAATCGCGATTAGCATTATGATAATTACTGTTGAATATTTGATTAGACATTTCATCGTAATCTGATAACCTTGTCTTAGCTTGCAGACGAAAGTATACAGAAATTACTACACCTCCAATCACTTCTTGAACAAGCGAGATATCGAGAATTCTGGAATGTTTATGAATCAGACGAAACATATCGAATATTAACGTCTGAAGCAATCGGATTCGAGAATGCCATTCGCAAAGGTATTTCAGTTCTGCGATTT